CCTCTCCTTACGAGCTGTCAGCGTGAGGAGAGGACTGCCAATAGCCGGCATTTCCCTATTTACATGCAATCAGCTGTGATTGGAAAGAGCTGATCATATGATAGAGCCAACGTCATCGGCTCTTTACTGCATTCAGTGATCTGCTATGTCCCACCAACGATCGCTGCGCCGTGTGCCCCCGGGGGTGTGCATGCGCAGCTAGAGTGGGAGGATGTCAAATGATGTCCTCCCAGGATGAGAGAACTGCCGTCCTCCTGTCATTTCCTTATATGGTGGGCGGGAGGCGGTTTAATGAGGTCAACTAGTAAACTACTTTCTCATTCCACTATTAACTGTAACAGGTTTCTTGTTTTAAAGGATGGATACCAGAAAGTAATGGATGAGTTTTCTATAGAAGAACCTAGAGGCAAAGCCTGCCCTAGGATATAGGGAAAGCTTTTTCTTTATGGAGCAGGTACATTACTGGTATATTGGTATATAGGGAAGCTAGAATTTATATTTTAAAAAAAAAAATGGTAAACTTAACCTTTAAGCAACCCACAATAAGAAATCAGCTCTCTTTCTGCTGTAATGGAAATAACTAAAATATTATTTTAAATATTGCTATAATAAATTGTACTTTGTACATCCCTTTTGCTCTTTAAGTTAGCCTTTAAAGCCAAAATATTTATATAAAAATAAACATATTTTCAAGTGTAGCCCTACAAGAATGCAAATAGCTGTATACTTTACAGTCGCTAAAATTATAGTTCACATTCAGTATTCTGAATTAACTGTTTAGCAGTAAAGGCCTATTAAACCTTCTAGTTCTGCAACTGATTTATTTTTTAATCAGTTCCACTTGAAAATTCAATATAATTCAGTAATTTATAAAATCAGTGGAGTGGGCAAGCGAGCCACAGTGATCTACAAGTGACATCTTAATCAAATAAGCTTTACATGTATATTTATGTTACTGAATATTTTAAAAGTTTAGTTTTATAAAAGCAGAAAATGCACACTTTATGTTCCAATAAGTTATGTATACAATGAGAAATTGAAGTTACAGGTATAGCTGCATATACAGTTACTATAAAAAAAGAAATCAAAAGAGAAAGGTCCCAGACACTGCACACATAGCAAAACCATTAGTAAACAGGTGAAAGCAGCCTCAGCCAGCTTTATCCAAAGCCATGCCCCAATGCGTTTCAGCCCGCCCATGGGGCTTAATCATTGACCTCTGTGATTAAGATCTGCAGGTGTGGTAAAACATGTTGGGGTGTGGCTTTGGATAAAGCTGGCTGAGGGTGCTTTCACCTGTTTACTAATGGTTTTGCTAGGTGTGCAGTGTTTGGGATCTTTCTCTATGCATATCCACAGTACTGTATGTGAGGAGTTAGATGGACTCCTGCCCAACCAGCACCTATTGCAGGATAGACCGGATGGACTTACAGGAGCTTAAGCGGAGACCTTAAGTTTCATGATGTTACTATAAAAAAAGAAAATCCATGTATTAATGAAAGTTAAAGCATAACTTCAACAAGCAATATACAGTGCTTTTAACCCCCTCCCCCTTAGAAATTAGCTATATTTATTTATTTATTACAGGTACTTTTATAGCGCCATCAATTTACACAGCCCTTAAATATATACAGTGGGGATCGAAAGTTTGGGCATCCCAGCTAACAATTTGTATTAATGTGCATAAAGAAGCCAAGGAAAGATGGAAAAATCTCCAAAAGGCATCAAATTACAGATTAGACATTCTTATAATATGTCAACAAAAGTTAGATTTTATTTCCATCATTTACACTTTCAAAATAACAGAAAACAAAAAAATGGCATCTGCAAAAGTTTGGGCACCCTGCAGAATTTATAGCATGCACTGCCCCCTTTGCCAAGCTGAGACCTGCCAGTGTCATGGATTGTTCTCAATCATCGTCTGGGAAGACCAGGTTATGTCAATCTCAAAGGTTTTAAATGCCCAGACTCATCTGACCTTGCCCCAACAATCAGCACCATGGGTTCTTCTAAGCAGTTGTCTAGAAAACTGAAACTGAAAATAGTTGATGCTCACAAAGCTGGAGAAGGCTATAAGAAGATAGCAAAGCATTTTCAGATGTCAATATCCTCTGTTCGGAATGTAATTAAGAAATGGCAGTCATCGGGAACAGTGGAAGTTAAAGCAAGATCTGGAAGACCAAGAAAATTATCAGACAGAACAGCTTGCAGGATTGTGAGAAAAACAATTCAAAACCCACGTTTGACTGCATGATCCCTCCAGAGAGATCTGGCAGACACTGGAGTTGTGGTACACTATTCCACTATAAAGAGATACTTGTACAAATATGGTCTTCATGGAAGAGTCATCAGAAGAAAAGCCTCATCGTTTGAACTTTGCAAATGAACATATAGACAAGCCTGATGCATTTTGGAAACAAGTTCTGTGGACCGATGAGGTTAAAATTGAACTTTTTGGCCGGAATGAGCAAATGTACGTTTGGAGAAGAAGGGGCACAGAATTTAATGAAAAGAACCTCTGTCCAACTGTTGAGCATGGGGTTGGATCAATCATGCTTTGGGCTTGTGTTGCAGCCAGTGGCACAGGGAACATCTCACGAGTAGAAGGAAAAATGGATTCAATAAACTTTCAGCAAATTTTGGATGGTAACTTGATGCCATCTGTGAAAAAGCTGAAGTTAAAGAGAGGATGGCTTCTACAAATGGATTAATGATCCTAAACACACCTCGAAATCCACAGGGGATTACATCAAGAGGCGTAAACTGAAGGTTTCGCCATGGCCTTCACAATCTCCTGACCTCAACATAATTGAAAATCTATGGATAGACCTTAAAAGAGCAGTGCGTGACAGACAGCCCAGAAATCTCAAAGAACTGGAAGACTTTTGTAAGGAAGAATGGGCAAAGATACCTCAAACAAGAATTGAAAGACTCTTGGCTGGCTACAAAAAGCGTTTACAAGCTGTGATACTTGCCAAAGGGGGCAGTACAAGATATTAACTCTGCAGGGTGCCCAAACTTTTGCAGACCCGATTTTTTTGTTTTCTGTTATTTTGAAAGTGTAAATGATGGAAATAAAATCTAACTTTTGTTGACATATTATAAGAATGTCTAATCTGTAATTTGATGCCTTTTGGAGATTTTTCCATCTTTCCTTGGCTTCTTTATGCACATTAATACAAATTTTTAGCTGGGGTGCCCAAACTTTCGATCCCCACTGTATATATATATATATATATATATATATATATATATATACACACAGTGGGAAAAATGATTATTTGATCCCCTGCAGTTTTCGTAAGAGTTCCCACCCACAAAGAAATTAAGTGTCTATACTTTTTATCATAGGTGTATTTTAAATGATAGAGACAGAATATCAACCAAAAATCCAGAAAAACACATGATACAAATGCTATAAATTGAGTTGCAGTTCAGTGAGTAAAATAAGTAATTGACCCCCAAGCAAAACATGACTTAGTACTTGGTGGAGAAACTCTTGTTAGCAAGCACAAAATAAGATGTTTCTTGTAGTTGGTTCTCAGGTTTGCACACATCTCAGGAGGGATTTTGATCCACTCTTCTTCACAGATCTTCTCTAAATCCTTAAGGTTTCTTGGCTGTCATTTGGCAACTCCTTCCATAAATTTTCTGTAGGATTAAGGAGACTGTAGGAGACTGGCTAGGCTACTCCATGACCTTAATGTGCTTCTTCTTGAGCCACTCCTTTGTTGCTTTGGCAGTATGTTATGGGTCATTGTCATGCTGGAAGACCCATCCATGACCCATCGTCAGTGTTCTGGCTGAGGGAAGAAGGTTCTCGTCCAAGATTTTACAATACATGGCCCCATCCCCTGGCCTTCAATGCAGCAAAGACGGCCTGTACTTTTAGCAGAGAAACAGCCCCAAACAAAATGCTTCCACTGCTTGACTGTAGGGATGGTGTTCTTCCATTTTGGTCTCATCTGACCACAGTACTTTCTCCCAATCCTTCTCTGAATCATTTAGATGTTCATTGGCAAACTTCAGATGGGCCTGTATATGTGCCTTCTTGAGGAGGGAGACCTTGCCGGTTCTGCAGTATTTCAATCCATGGCAGTGTATTGTGTTACCAATGGTTTGTTTGGTGACTGTGGTCCCAACTGCCTTTAGATCATTCACAAGCTCCTCCAGTGTAGTTTTGGGCTGATCCCTCACTTTACTCATGATCATCCTTACCCCATAAGGCAAAATCTTGCATGGAGCTCCAGACCGAGGGCGATTGATGGTTATTTTGTATTTCTTCCATTTGCAAATAATCGCTCCAACAGTCGTCTCCTTCTCACCAAGCTTCTTGCTGATGGTCTAATAGCCCATTCCAGCCTTGTGCAGGTCTACAAACTTGTCCCTGATGTCCTTTGACAGCTCTTTGGTCTTGCCCATGATGGTGAGGAAGAATGACATTCTGTGGATAGGTGTCTTTTATACATATTACAAATTGTCGTTAGGAGCACCTTCTTAAATTGACAGGCATAATCTGTGTACCACATGAGCACATAGCCAGAACAATTTTTTGGTTGGTAGGTGTCAGGAATCCAGGTGTGACCAGAAATGTGTTGACTGACACAGGGAAACGCAGGCTTCAGATATGGTATAAACAATATAATTTATTAAGACTAACAATACAAAACGCAGTGCAAAACTAAACATAAACACAATGCAAACAAACCAAACCAAACCACCTACAGATAACAATACATACAATACAAAGAGTAGTCAGGCAGGCCGGGTCAGTAGCAAACGGGCAAACGGAGTACCAGGAACAGGCAGGAGAGTGGTCGGGGTCACAAGCTGGGTTCAGTAACTCACGGGCAACGCGGTACAGAGGGTTGGGCAGAGAATGGTCAGGGTCACAAGCCAGGGATCAAGCAGGAGAAGTCAGCAGAGGTCAGGATCAGGCAGGGTCGGCAACAAGTCAGACAGGAACAGGAATACAGGATACAAGGTACAGGGGCCCATAGAAAAACACACACCAAGGCCCTAACTGTGAGTCTGGCCATTCCTTAAATACAACCCCTGCAATCAGCTGCAGGTGTTTGGCTGATTGCAGGGGTGAGTCTCTGATTGCTGAGAGCACCCGCTGGCCAGCCCTGGTACTGCAGCCCACAAGGCTGGTGAGTCCCACCATTATTGGCAAGTCCATTCCTGACAGAAGTAGCAGGCTTCAGGAACACAGGCGTAGTCAGGGCTGGAGAGGTGGAATGGTCAGGTGGGCCGTAAGGTACTGTCAGGCACCGCCCGGTGGGATCTCTAGTGACCCACAGACCAGGATTCCCCAGGTCGCGGAGTCTAAGCCCCAGTCTGCCTTTTCACCAGAGCCCCTGATGGTGGGGATGGACATGGCGCAGGACTGAGACCAGGTCGCGGCCCCTGAATGCACCCAACTGTGGTAGAGGGGTCCGTCGAGGGTATGTACCGGGGGAAAGCCTGATGTGAAGGGGCTGGCAGGTTTGGACAGTATTGACTGGATCCGTGCGGGATGGATGGATCGTCTGGGTAGCGTCAGGCAGGCCAGGTCAGCAATGTGCGGGCAGTGAGGTACCGGAGGAGCAGGCAGAGAATAGTCATTGTCACAAGCCGGGTTCAGTAACTCACGGGCAGCGCGGTACAGAGGATCAGGCAGAAGGATGGTCAGGCAAGCCAGGGGTTCAGCAGAGGTCAGGATCAAAGCAGGGTCAGCAACTAGGCAGATAGGCAGGAACACAGGATACCAGGTACAGGGGCTCATGGGAAACATACACCAAGGCCCTGATCACAGGCCTGGTCATTCCTTAAATACACTTCCTGCAATCAGCCCCAGGTGTTGTCTGACTGCAGGAGTGAGCTTCTGGCTGCTGAGAGCACCCACTGGTCAGTCCTGGTACTGCAGCCCACACGGCAGGTGAGTCCCACCACCAGTGCTGAGTCCATTCCTGACAGTAGGGGATCAAATACTTATTTTACTCACTGAACTGCAACTCAATTTATAACATTTTTATCATGTGTCTTTTTTTCTGGATTCTTGGTTGATATTCTGTCTCTATCATTTACACTTCTGCTAAAAATTGTAGACCCTTCATGTCTTCGTAAGTGGGCAATTTGTATTGTGCTTTTTTCTGTATTTTTAGTTGATATTCTGTCTCTATCATTTACACCTATGATAAAAAATTATAGACCCTTTATTTCTTTGTAAGTGGGCAAACTTACATATATATATATATATATATATATACACGAATATATACACTTCTCAAAAAAATTAAAGGAACACTTTGAAACATCAGCTCTCAAAGGGGAAAGATATCATGCTGGATATCTATACTGATATGGACTGGGTAATATGCTGAGAACGTAAGCATGCCCCATCGTTTGATGGAAATGAAAATTATCAACCTACAGAGGACTGAATTCAAAGACACCCCGAAAATCAGAGTGAAAAAATAATCCAGCAGGCTACTCCGTTTTGCTGAAATTTCATTGCAGCAACTCAAAATGGTACTCAGTAGTTTGTATGGCCCCCCACATACTTTTATGCATGCCTGACAATGTCGGAGCATGCTAATAATGAGACGACAGATGGTGTCCTGGGGTATTTCTTCCCAGATCTGGACCAGGGCATCACTGAGCTCCTGGACAGTCTGCGGTGCAACCTAGCAGCGTTGGATGGACCAAACCATGATATTCCAGAGGTGTCTATTGGATTTAGGTCAGGTGAGCGTGGGGGCAATTAAATGGTATCAATTCCTTCCTGCATACTCTCGCCACATGATTTTGGGCATTGTCGTGCACCAGGAGGAACTTAGGGCTCACTGCACCAGCGTAGGGTCTGACAATGGGTCCAGGGATTTCATCCCGATACTTAATGGCAGTCAGGGTGCCATTGTATAGCCTGTAGAGGTCTGTACATTTCTCCATGGATATGCCTCTCCAGACCATCACTGACCCACCACCAAAATGGTCATGCTGAATGATATTACAGGCAGCATAATGTTCTCCACGGCTTCTCCAGACCCTTTCACGTCTGTCACATATGCTCAGGGTGAACCTGCTCTCATCTCTGAAAAGCACAAGGCGCCAGTGGTGGACCTGCCAATTCTGGTGTTCAATGGTAAATGCCAATTGAGCTCTATGGTGCTGGGCAGTGTGCACAGCGCCCACCAGAGGACATTGGGCCCTCAGGCCACCCTCATGAAGTCTGTTTCTGATTGTTTGGTCAGAGACATTCACACCAATGTCCTGCTGGAGGTTATTTTGTAGGGCTCAAGCAGTGCCCATCCTGTTCCTCCTTGCACAAAGGAGCAAATACCAGTCTTGCTGATGGGTTAAGGACCTCCTACGGCCCTGTCCAGCTCTCCTAGAGTAACTGCTCATCTCCTGGCTGGAATCTCCTCCATGCTCTTGATACTGTCCTGGGAGACACAGCAAACCTTCTGGCAATGGCAGGCACGTATTGATGTGCCATCCTGGAGGAGTTGGACTGCCTGTGCAACCTCTGTAGGGTCCAGGTATTGGCTCATGCTACCAGTAGTGACACTGACCCTAGCCAATTGGAAAACTAGTGAAAAACAGAAAAGATGAGTAGGGAAAAAATGTCAGTGGCCTCCACCTGTAAAACCGTTCCTTTTTTGGGGGTTGTCTCATTGTTGCCCATCTAGTGCACCTGTTGTTAATTTCATTAACACCAAAGCAGCTGACACCCCCTCTGTTACTTAACTGACCAGATCAATATCCCAGGAGTTTAAATGACTTGATGCTATACTCTGATTAAAAAGTGGTCCTTTAATTTTTTTGAGCAGTATATATATACATATATATATATATATATATATATATATATATATATATATATCATTAACATTCATATAAAAAATATTAATAAATACCTTATAACTGTCCCAGTCCCATTATACATTGTGTTTCCATCAGCAATGGGTATGTAGTAATTATGTTCTTAAGCATATCAAGAGGCTGCAAAAAATGGAGGGAATGAAGTAAACTGACTCTAGCAATAACTCCATTCACTATGGGTTATGTCATATTGTTGGATTGACTACATGGAGCATTGAAATGACAGATTCTGGGACAGTAAAATATATTAGTATACTGTATATATAATATTTAAGATTAAATCTATTTGGAAGTGGTGGCAGGCTGAAAAGGTAAAGAGCAGCAGTGAGGAATGCATGCACAATATGAGTTAAATATTTCTGTTAAGTTGAAGTTACACTTTAATCCTAAACTTGGATAATGAACAAGGTAATTATTACAAAAGGTTAACTCCAAAACTTTACTTATGTTCAGCAATTACATACAATTCATAGAAGAGAGTGCAATGGAAGAGATCCTAAATAGGAAACAAAAAAACAAAAAAAAGGGGGTGTCAGTCCAGCCTGATTTTGAATTCTATGTTTAGATTACCAGGGGTAATTTTTTTCCAGCACTTTTCAAATTGATTTATGTTCCAGTTACCTTTCATGGTTTTTACCTTTGCTGCTTGTAAGGGGATTTTGTAACCTGACGTGCGCTGATAACCTAGCCAATAGGAAAAAAGCATTCCTGCAACATTCATCTTTATCTTGTAGATATAATATTTCTTCATCTCTTAAATACATTCTACTTCCGTAATCCCAATTCCTGCCTATTTGGATGGTTAAAATGCTGGGGAGTACAAAACCTAGCAGCATTGATTAGATCAATGGTCTTCAAATTGTGGTTCAGGAGCCAGATGCAGCCCTTTGCTGGCCTTTATCCAGCCCTTATGGCACTATTCCTCTTACTGACACCAACAGTGGGGCACTATTTCTCCTACTGATGCCAACAATGGGGCACTATTCCTGTTACTCAGACCAACCAGGGGGCACTATTCCTCTCACCGACACCAACACCAACAATGGGGCACTATTCCTCTCACTGATGTCAACAATAGGGCACTATTTCTGTTACTAAGACCAACAAGGGGACACTATTCCTCTCACTGACACCAACAATGGGGCACCAGTCTTATCACTGACACCAATGATGGGGCACTCTTCCTGTCAATGAAACCAATTATGGGGTACTATTCCTTCCACTGACAGCCACAATGGGGCACTATTCCACCCCCAAATACCAAAATATAGAAATGTTTTCTCCCACTGATGCCAGGACATTTCCTACTCCCAATCATCTTCCCCCCCCCCCCCAAAGTCTGAAAGACAGTAAACTGGCCCTTGTTTAGAAAGTGTGTAGAACCCTAGATTAGATGGATGGGGAGGGACACTGTGTGAGATTTACAAAAACTGGAGCACTCTGAATCTGGTTCAGCTGTGAATGGTAGCCAATCAGCTTTTAACTTCAGCTTGTTCAATTAACCTTTGACAATAAAACCTGGAAGCTGATTGGTTTCTATACAGAACTGCACCAGATTTTGCACTCTCCAGTTTTAGTATATAACCTTCTTTTATTTCCACATTGAGGTGAAAGAGCAAGAAGATTTGGCCATCTGGAACAAACCTATTGTGGAATTAAGAAATGATTGATATTAAAAACAGTCAGAATGGTCTTTTTTTAGGACAGGTACAGAGAATATGTTAAAATACTGCTAAGGTTGGTAAGTGGAAAAAGAGCAATATTGTTTTTTTTCAGGAGAGTTAGTTTAAGTACAGTGTTGCTCTAATGCTTTTAGATCTTGACATGTTAGCATGTTAATCAAGAAATAAATGTTTAAACTTTGGATGTCACCATACAGTCTATATAACAGGGATAATTGCAATGTATCAGTAGTCTTTCAAGAGATGCCAACACAAGAACAAGTTGTGAATTTGCTTCGGAAGCTATTATAGAGAATGTCTTGTAAAAACTAAGAGTTGTTGATAATAGGAAGAGAATTGAGCCATGAGGGCAAAAGTGAGGGATTCTCTATATTTAGGACAGGACATGCTAAAGTGGTTCTAAAGCCTTAAAGAGTTACTAAACCCAGGACCCTGCATTCACTCTATCTGGTCTCCCACAGTACACATAAAATGGAAATGCAATTATTTTAGTAAATATAAACTGCTAAATACCTTTTATCATTATCTTGTGAATTCTAGCAGTGTCCAGCAGAGCACTGGTTAAAGCTTGTAGGAGGAGTTTCAATTTTGCTCTAGTAGGATGCAGAACCCCTGACCTCTGTCTGGACAGTGCTGAATGGCCCTGTTCTGATCATATGCACTTTCCCAAGAAAAGAAAAACAACCTCTCTAGCAATACACACCAAACTGAGCATGTGCAGAGTGACTCCACATGATATGTCTTATCAGGAGATAAGAGGGGGACACTGGAAGAAGGGGAGGATCAAATAGCATATTTACACAATGCAGAGGATTAATCCCTTCCACAGTGAGTATAACAAGCATGCTTTACTGCATATACAGACTGATTTTACTGTTGTGGGTTTAGTAACACTTTAAAGCGGAGATCCATCCAAAAGTTCCGCATTAAACCTTTGTCCCCCCGCTCCCTCTTAAGGATTGGCACCTTTGGAGAGAAGGTACCCGAACTTGACAAATACCAGCTTCCACTTCCACTGCAATTGTCTAAGAAGCGGAAGTTGTCCTTATCCCCTCCCTCCCCGTAGTCTTCTGGGACATAAGATTAGAAGACATCGGGACCATTCAGAAAGCGCAGCACTACACGCCCATGCACAGTGGGCACATAGCTGTTAAGCTGCAACCTGTCACAGCCGGGTGCCCACACTGAAGATGCCGGGGAGAGAAGAAGGCCAGTGAAACCAGCCATGGTTACGACACTGCAGGACCAAGTGACAGGTAAGTGGCTGTATTTTAAAAGTCAGCAGCTACAGTTTTTGTAGCTGCTGTCTTTTATTTTTTTTTCTTCAACTGGAACTCTGCTTTAAGGTTTTTTATCTTAATGAATTCTATGCTTTAAGGTAAAAAACCTTCTGTGCTGCAGGATCCCCC